GGGGGGCTGGAGGGCACCACAAGGCAGGGAGGGGGGCCCCTTACCCTGCAGGACTCACCTGCCTCGTCCTCCACATAGTTCCGCAGGCTGATTTTGCCACCAGGCCCAGTCCCCAGCGTCACCTCAGCCAGCGTCGGGGGAAAGTGGACCACAGCCTCTGTCAGCACTCTGAGGGGTACAGGAGGGGGCTGAGCACCCCAAATTCTGCAGGGCTGGCCGGGGTCCCTCCTTCCATCTGCCCTCATCCCACTCTGCCCACCCCAGTGCCACCCCCGGTGTACCCCCTCACCGTGCCGGGGCACAGAGGCGGCTGGCGCAGCGCTGGGTGTCGAACACGGCCTGGAGCCGCTCGCACTCCTGGAAGGCCAGGTTGTGTGTCTTGGTGACACCTAGCAGGGGGACAGCGGCTCAGCAGGGCAGGATGTGGTGCCAGCATGTCCCTCGCTGTGCTGTGTCACCCCCCAGGCCGTGTCCCCGCTGGTACTCACCATACTTGCAGTGGAGCTGCAGCACCAGGCGGCTGGCACGGGGCTTGAGCAGGATGAGACATTTCCCCACCGACTTCTCCAGCGAGGGCAGCGAGCGGAAGATGCCCAGGAAGGACTGCGGGGATGGATACAGGGACTGTCACCTGCCTGGGGCCCCTAGAACGAGGAGCACTGAGGGAGCCCGGGCAGGCCACTGCACCTTCATGTGGACTTTGCATCGGAAGAGCTCCGTGTCGGGCCCGCTGCTGCCCGGCTCATACAGCTGGAAGAAGAGGGGTGCGAAGAGGAAGGAGGCGAAGGCAGAACGGGAGGAGTTGACAGCACGAAGGGAGAGCTGGGGACACAGCCACAGTATTGGCACTGCCTGCCGGAAGGGAGGGGGGCGCAGGTGCCCCCCCAGCTCCCGTCCAGCCCCCTCGATGCTGCATACCCCGCTCTCGGTGGGCTCCAGGTAGAGCTCGTCGCCGATGCGGGACAAGGAGTGCACGGCTCGGCCGAGGACTGGGAAGGAGAGGATGTGGGGGTGAGGCAGGGCTCCCCGGGCATGCCGCACTCCCTGGGCCCCCAGGCCCCGCTCACCTTTGACGTTGCCGCCGGCGATGACACATTTCATGGCACCGGCACCGGGACCAGAACCAGGAC